CTGTTCCGACAGCTCTAATTGGATGTTTCCCTTCCCCGAATTTAGTCCCAGCATTTTTTAATTACCTGAGACGTTATCTCAATTACAGGTGTCTAATCCACGTTATAATAGAATAAATAATTCTGGAAATTCTCTTATTCTAACGCTCTGTTTGTTTTAAGCTCAGCTTGATCATAGATTCTGCTTGTATTTGATTCTACATTTAACCTGGAGCTCGCCGAATCTTTTCTAGAATCTTTTTTCAATTGTTTGGTTCAGAGATTTTACCTTTCAAGGTCATTCTTTAGTTGGAACCGAAAATGTTTTCCAAATAAAAATTTGAATCATTATCAAGCTAATGCCATCCGTTCAATCTAGTTTAAGTTTAAATTTTTTGAGTTTTTGGTTTCTAATTTGCAGTTTTTTTGTTGGTTTCGTGGAACATTAATTGATTTAATGTTTTCGTTGGCTTGAAGCTAACAACATTTATACTAGTATTATGTTAACGGAGCGTTACAAATCGCAACACAGAAGCAGCGGCAGCATTAAGTGGCAACAAACTGTTGGCGGCTGTTGAACAAATATCGTATCTGGCAGATACATCGGACCCAGGCTCAGATGCCAAGCTCTTCACGCGTGGCAACGTTTTTTCAAGTGCAGCATGCAATTTTGCAATATCGAAAAGAAGACTTTACAAAAAAGTGAAACTCAGCGAGAGTGTGTGTGTGCTAGTGTGTGTATCTGTATCTGGGAGATACACAAGCATAACTGTAACCATAATTACCGACAGCAATGAAAAGCGAAACAAAATTAATGAAGTGTGTGATACGCGCTGAGAGCAAAAACTAAGAGAAGAAACGCAATCCCAGCTCCAAGACAATGCCACCTCCTCCTCCCCCTCCCCTTCAGGCGCTGTCTCTGGCACTTGCACCTGCACATGTTGCTGCCGCAGCGGTGTGAAGGTTGGCAGCGATGTATCTTTGTGCCGTGCAGAGAGTGCAGAGTATGTTGTTCAGAGACGCGGAAGTTCGGGAAAAAAATGTTTAGCTGCCCGGCCCAAAACAATGCACAATGTACCAGCCACACACTCACTCACACGCCAGATTGTTTTGTCCGCCTCAAAAGTTTTGTATCTTGAACTTGAGGCATCATCGGGCATACGTACATTTGTATCTGTTGCCGTGTGGGTGCTGTCTGCTGCAGGGGTGTTTGGGCGAGTGCTTCAGCCAACTGAAACAAATGGCCATGAAATCATTTGTTAGCCAGCACTGAATAACAAATAATTCTAACCACAATTGTTAAATTTCTATGCTCCCAAAGATGGCGAAGATATACCCGTATGGATTACATCATAAGTACAGCTTGATTGAATTTCCTACGAATTTCCTCAAAGCTATGTTAACCAAAAGCCAACACAAAAAAATCCTTTTACAGTATAGTATCCTACGTATTGACTCCTACCAGCCGCACTGGAAAAGGTCAGATGACGCTGATGCAACTGTCCCACGGTAAGCATTTACGGGATAAAGCTTTCATTTAATGGCTTAAGCGTGCTGGCCACAATCAGCATCATCGCCATGATGCTAACGTATTTTTCCGATTTTAAATAATTGTGTAATGAAAATACCAGAAAGGCAGCAGAATAAACAATAAACCTGCAATAAACACAGTCATAATAAATTCATTTCAGTTTTTCAATAAGTATACGCAGCCAAAGTGCCAAAGTGAGCCAGAACGAGTAAACAACGAGAAGGAACGTGTGAGTCGCTTCTTTGCTACATCTGCTATGTACATCTACGAAATTTTGAAATACTTTCGTAGCAGTGTGAAATTATATGCGTTGACTAGCTCTTATAGTCTCTGATAACATCTCAAGAATATATGTACATATATACTTTATGGGGTCGGAAATATTTCCATCTCTGCGTTACACACATCCACTTTTACCACAAATCGAATATACCCCCTAACTCTTTCTGAGTATGGGTATAATAATCATCAAGAAATCATATTTTGACCAAATCATGTCAAAGTTGCCTCTGATGTTGTCTAGCTCCAAGTGGTGTCGTTATTTTTGTTGTTTTTCCACAGACGAGTGGACGTGTATTTTTGTTTCTGCAAAAAAGATGATTTGTGCCAGTGCCACTTGAACTATGCGTCATACTGAGCCTCAGACAATGATTGAGGGAGATGCCGGAGATGAAGATGGAGACTTGGATGCTTGGATGTTGCTCGGCCCTCAGCATGTCAGATGTCGATGATGGCGATGGCGATGGTGGCTGTTGCTGTTGATGTTGATTTTCTTGGTTTTTGCTGCTGATGCTGTCTGTCTGTAGTACTAGGTATTATTGCATCATCAAACAGATTGAGCAATGAGTGGATTTAAATACACATTTAATGGTTTCAGTTATGGCCCATTGTGCCCGGTCGTTCAACTAAGCCCCACAAGGGATTATCGATATGAGATCTGTTAAAGATTTACATTTCGTTTATTTATGGTTGCAGTTCATTTATTAGCTGAATATCTAAATAAATAAATTAAGCAAATCAAAAATTGCCGAATCAAGTATTCAATATTCGATTAATAGGAATATTTAACTATTAGAAGGAAACTATCTATGGCTCCTATCACTTGAACTGATTTTTTTCCTTAAAGATACATACATATGTATCTATATTTTATGAACATTAAGTGTGTTAATGTAAGTTATATCCCTCAAGTCCAAAGCCTAAAAAAAAGGAACAGAACGACAGAAACCCCACTATCAGGGAACCTGAATATTAATGTACCTTTCTGTTTACCCCACCAGCAAATGGATGATTAATTTATGTTTATGTTTGTCATTGAAGAGGAGCGGAAAATCATTTTGGGGAAAAATTAATTTTCCGAGCTAGCAATAGTCGTGTCCAGCCGGAAAGGGAACGAACAAAACCATTTCTGATGACATACAAAATGGGAAGCACACAATTACGAAGCATTTTTTCCGTATTTCCCTGTTGCTTTCTCGCTCTTTGTCCGTTCTCCCTCCCCATTTACCTGTGTCTGTATCTCTCTCTCTCTCTCTCTCGCACTCAATTGTTTCCCTTTTGTGGGCTGAACACGTGCAAAAGTACAAGCAAATGGGGCCAAAGAGGTAAACGCCATAAATGCCCAGGTCCACTCACAATTATTGCCACAGCGGAGCACTGCCAACGGGGAGGCGGAGTGTTTGTGGGGACGTAGCAGAAGTAGTGAGTAGCACAAAGATAAAGCGAGGTATGAAAAATCGAAAGTGGCAACTCGAGTGACAAGAGGAGACCAAACGGCCTGGTCTCTTGCGCCGCCGTCGCTACGGCTCGGTTCGGTACGGTTCGGTTTTGGGTGCAGCACAATCTGCGACTCAGCATCTCTAATGGTTGCTGCAGCTGCCGCCAAACAGGAGGAGGGGCAGGTTTTTTGCCATATCGAAGAGCATGTTGCACAATGTCGATGGTGCGAGCACAAGACAGATACAGCCAGTAGAAAATACCGTACACACATATTGGAATTGGAGCAGAGATCAACGAGACTGCCGCCAGTCAAAGGCAAACATCTGGTCCCCTTCCCGCATGGTGGCCAGGTGCAGCCGGTTTCCTGTGCGTTGTGTGCAACGTGTGCTGCAAATCCAAAAATGCTTGCAGCCATAAATACTGGCAAATTGCTATGAGAACCCCCTATGAAAAGACTGATGCACACAGAAGAAGATTTGAAATGGCGACTTCAGCGACAAACGATTCCGTACTGGGGCTGGGGGGGCGCTAACCGCAATCTATGGGCCACTTCAGCTGGCTTAATTGAAATGTTTTTGGTTTTGGCTTTGGGCTATTGGCCATCAATAGATTGTTTGCACTCGAATCGAACCACAAAAATGGTGGAAAAATGAAAACCTACCTTACTGCATAAAAGCTATTATAATCCACACGTTTTCTGGACAGCAAAAAAAATAAACCGCCACCGCATTGAAAGTGAAAGCTTTTTTTCTATTATTTGTTTTCAAAAATAAATTTTACGTGTTTTTTATGCAGATAAATTGAAAATATTTGAGAGTCAAGAAAAGAAAAGTTGAGAGTGGGAACTATTTTGAATGAGAAATGCTGCCCATCACCTGTTTTCTTTGACGGATTCGAAACGCTCAGACAATGCTCCGAGGTTTAGCCCACCGCACAAAAGGTGCCGGTTCAAGTTGAAGTTGAAAGTGATGTAATTTCTCTTGGTCTCTCATCGCCAGACCCGAGTTGAACTTGGCAGCAGCTGGAAGCTTTTGGCACCTTGCAGAATACCCTACCTAAATATATTCCTTCTTTTTGAAGAAGTATGCGCGACTGTACGCATTAATATAATGGTTGTCTAATATTTAGTTAGTAAATGATTACAGCTAAGATAAATGGGATGTATATGGGTTTTACCCATTCACTTGTCATGGGAGGAAGAGTAATTACGCTTCGGGGTTTGTTATTCTCCTTTTTTGTGCTGCCTTTTTCCGTGGCATTTCTTTACCGTTTGCCGCAGCAGCAGCCGCATTTCAACGATTCCCGAATTTGCATGTCAATGTGACTTTGAAGAGCACTCTGACTGTGGCATAATCACTGGCTGTCACATTAATTAGCTGCTAATTAATTAGCAGAGCGCCAGCAATTACACTTGAAACAAAGCAGTGAAAACCCAATGCATATTTAACTTTTAATAGAAATTGGCCTAAATCAAAACGATCCAACCGCAAACGAACGAACCTCTTGCGACCGAAACATGACGATGATCAAACCGCCTCGAACATTGCTCCAACCAAACCAGACAGACAAGATCGAACAAGACAAGACACGATTCTGCGCCGAAGACAACTGTCTGCGGTATGCTGCTATTGCTTTGCTCTTCTCTCACACCCAGCAGCCTGTTGCAGTTGGCACACACGCACAAGCTTGAAGTTGAAGCTGTCGAGCACGTCGTAGACGATGGCTTGATATCAACATTTGCAGCTTAATGCCAAAACTTTTTTGAACGCAAAAGCGAACGGTACGCGAAGCGCATGCGCGGACTAAAGATCATGCCAGCGAAGCCCATCAACGGTATCCGTGGGCCGCGACTGAAACGTGTCTGAAATTCGCAAATGAAATATACGCCGAAAGAACTGTCCCCACAAAAATAGTTCTACCCAGCAAGTGACAAGTGAAGAAAACCAATCCAACAAATAAATAAACCCCCAAACCAAATAAGGTGAATGAAACGGAGGAAACTGTGTCAAAAGCAAAGAAAGTTGTCCCTGCCAAAGTTATTATGCAGTATGTGGGCAGAGTCCCAAGATCTTTTGAGGCGAACGCGTACGGGGTATCTGCAGCTACATCTGCTTTGTTGTGGGGATTGGTGGGCCTGTCAAGTTTGAGATATCTTCAGCGTGGGCCTCTTGCAATACCAATGTAATGATGACCATTTTTGGGAGCACTCACAACGGCAGGCACAGTCGGAGGCAGTACGCCCAGGCATGCGGTAGAATGGTTCTTCTGCCGGTGAATCACTCACAATACTCTTTCATTTCTTCGTCTTTCGTCTGGGGGTGCGGCAGCAGCACTCTGTGAATACACTGTGAATTATTCGATGTGGATTTCATGTAAATACGTCTGTGGGCATGATATCATACGATCAAATATTCAAAATCGAAGGCTTAACAAGGTCGCCTAGCATTTGGCAAACTAGTTTCCAGTTATTTTGCATTAAGATTCGATATTGAAATATTTGTATTTATTTTTAGGTTTCTTTTATGCATAATCCGAGGCAGAAGCCGTCCAGTCCGCTAATTATTGACCAAATTGATTTGACTGTAAATATTCGCTTCGTTTCAAATGAAAAAATCCGAAAAATTGTTTGCCAAAAAAAAACATCAGTTTGAATATGTTATTAGCATTGAAAGATCTCAAAATTAAAGGAAGCCTGTCCATGCAGATGACCTCCCACATTCAACCATTTTTAATTATGAAATGTAATTATTTTTCCGGAGATTGAACAAACTATTCGACGATACCTTTCCTGACAGCATCTGATTGGAATATTAATTTATATTTCAAAGGAGAGACACGCCGGGCCATGGACATCCACCACCCCCTCATTAGCTCTTCGCCAACTCAGCTGCATACAAAAATGTAATCTCCCTTGAGCTTGACACATTTGATATGCAAATGGCACAAAGCCAAAGCCATAGTGGCAATTGACGTTGCACCTGACATTGAAGCTGAGGCTGACCACGGCTTTTATTTGACCGCAAAGCAGGGGAAATTTCCGGCAAAGATGCCAATTAATTTGGTTATTAATTGCCATCTTTGGCAGGGAATTCATTTCCCAGAGTGGACGCTGCTTCAAGCGATAATTGGTCCTCGAAACCGGTTTAATTACGGGTCTCTTATGCAATTGAAGTACAAGTGGCGTATGCGTAACATGAGAGCGGTTCTGTTTGACATGTACAATAATCAAAATGTTATTTACTTTGAGCACGCTGAAATTGGTTCATATTTTATTTAATTAAAAGCGAATCTAAATGAATAAACTAGCAATGTAATATCCGTATTGAAGGTAATATTATCCCTGTATCAATGGCCTGTTTTGCAGCATTGCATTCTTGTCTCGTTTGGAATAATAGACAGACAGCTCACAAGGTACATAGCTAAAGCCCAAAACAAGTCCTAAGCTATTTTCGTTTGCGTGCAAATTTCTCAAAATGCATTTGTACATACGTGTCAGTGCCCCCTAACCCTCCTTTAATGCTTGAATATATGCCATATATAAATATGCTCCATGACAGACCCGCAAGCAGGCGATTTCATTTGCGTGCCACAGCCAAGTCACGTTGCTTTTTTGTTGTTTCTTTTTTGTGTATTTTATAAATTATTTTACCAATACGAAAGCGCTTTTGCTGCTTGTTTAAGCCATACAAATGTTAATTGATAACCGAAGCGATTAAAACAAAACACCCAAAACAACAACAACAAAAAAGACAAAACAAGACAGAAATTTTATGCAAATGCAGAAACTACAAATGCCTCGAAAGGATTGCGTAAAACATTGTCGAATGGGCTGGGCGTATTCATGCAATAACTGAGAAAAAAAACCCAAAAACAAAAAAAAATAGACTCCAAATGCCCACTGAAAAAAATCATAATTTTAAAGAGTTTAAGCAACCTTGGAAATGCCCAAAAATATAAGGGTTTGGCTGGGTTTTAGTGGATACTGTCGATTCAAATGAGAAGAGCTAAGGAAACAGATTTTAGAAACTTTATTTTTAAAGTGTCTATTTCGCATAAATTATTTCAATATAAATTATAGATCTTAAGAAAGATCCCTGAAACGGACATATACTATATATACATATAGTATACATATGTACATATATGTTTCTGTCGTACATACTGATTTCCTGTCCACTGTGACAGTTAAAGGTTTTTCCTTTTTCCATAATTAACATGCAGTCTAAATGGAAAAAAAAAAATGTCAGTGAATATTTTAGAATAAATTTATTTTGGTTCTGACCGTCACTTCTGGAAAACCTTCTCTGCCAATTTGCGTGCGCCGCAACCATTGCCACCCCTTCTTCATTTCAGCTGATCAATCTATTTTTCAAAGGCCATTTTCCAGATGATTTTTTTGTTGCATATATATTTTAATACAGTTTCTGTTGAGTTGGTTTTGCCTATCAGTGCGATTGCTGTGGCTTTAATTGAAAAACATGAATACTTTTGATATTTTAAAACTAAACCAATTTGGATATGACGGCCAAACAAACTAATTTCTTTTGGATGATTCCCATCCCAAAAACGAATACGAAATCGATACCGAGACTCAGACCAAGACCATTGGATGTATGTTAACCAGTTGGTTGGGCTAATGGAAAACCATTGGAATGCCAATTGTATTGGCTATGCAAAGTTATGCAGATCCATCCATAAACCGGCATGAAATGGTTGAGCCAGAGCAAAGTGTAACACCTGCACGGAGTCGGGAAAATTCGCGGCCAGCATGCGGAGAAACGGGTTGGTTGGTTGGTTGACGGAAAAGTTACCACCGATTGCATAAGCGAACCATTGAAAGTGCAACCAGTTGATGCACTTACTCACGCTCCCCTTTCCCCGCTCTCTTTAACAGCATGAGGGAACGCAGTCAGACAACTCCCAGACGCCGTCGAGCTGGTCCCAAGCAGGCGCTTCCCGGCAGCCACGAGGGAGTTGGTGCCCTGGAGTCGCCCTACTACACCATCGACAACACGGAGGACATCTATGGAACCACCTTGCTGCCCTCGCAGCGCTGCTACGTGGATCCCTGGGACCTGGAGAACTACGACTATGTGCGCAAGAAGATCGATGATGGTACCGGCCAGCAGGTGGATGAAATCCACTATGGAAATTCCCAAACCCCAAGTCCCAGCTATGGAATGGGCATGGGCATGGGCATGGCTGCTACCATGCCACGCCCCCACACACAGACGCGTCGCGTGTCGCGCTCCCAATGTCAGCTCGAGTGCTGTGTGCCGCAAAGAAGCCGGCGGAGGAGCAGAAGCAGCCGCAAGGAGCCCCTGTATACAGCCAGGAGTGACATCTACGGAGTTCCCAGTCGCTACGATGACTACATGGCCACAATGACCAGGCAGCTGCATCTGGACAACGATGAGAACGACGACGGAGAGGAGGAGGAGCTGCGGGCAGAGCTCTACGCAGAGCAGCGACAGCTTTACAATGGCTACGGAGGTGAGCGGATAAGCTTCTTTCGTCCTTGAAATGTCATCATTAAAATCCTTCAATTGTTCATCTCCACAGGCTTCTCCAGTACCAGCTCCACCGAGCACCCCTCCTCCATTGGTGACGAACTGCCCATTCCCCAACGGCGAGCGGCCACCCTTCAGCGCCGCTCCGCCCCCAGTCAAGTTGCCAACAACAACAATTATGGAACTGCACCGCATCCGAGACGCAAGCGCAGCGGCAAGTCTGCCCCGCCACTGACCGCACCACCGCAGATCGAATTCCCCGCCCCGCCCCCGATTTCGCCAGCCTATGACTACTGCAATCCCTATGCTACACTGCCGTACTGCAGCATTCCGGATTGCAGTGAGTGTCAGCAGCACACCAAGTCCCTCATCTACGCGGCACCCTCCACCCTCTACGGAACTCTGGGAGGTGTCGGATCAGGGGCACGCACTCAGTGCGAATCGCCGCACTCCGCTGGAGGCGACTCCTCGCTCTACTCGGGAATTTACGCACGTAAATTCGGACTGAGCAAGAAGGGTCTGCTCCAGATCGACTACTCCTGCAGCTGGAACGACTTAGATCGGGTCATGCAGCGCCAGTTTTAAGCGAGGAGGAGCAGTAGCACTCTCCCCCTGGGTGCTTACTGCTTGGTTGCTTGGGTTTGGAACAACATTATGTCCTTAAGTCATCATCTTATATACTCACACACACACAGACACACACACAATACCAAATAACTGAACATATTTGTCGTAGCAATTAGTGTTTCAACATTGAAATTGATTGAATAAACTTATAAAAGGTTAGCCATGGCCTCAGCAGAGTTGGAAGCCTTCTCGAGAAGAGTGAGAGTTTCTATAACAATTTACTCTACATTTGAATAGTGGAGAGATCTTTTTCCAATCCGTAGGATCATTCTGCCCATTTTATTAGAGCAAAACAGCTGCGACTTTGCTTAGACATTACTCAAGGGGAACACTCTCAGATGCGCTAAAAAAAATCCATTTTTATAGCTTCAACTTAATACTTATGAAAAATGTAGCCTCGGAGCTATCCAATTCCCAATTGCCTTTCCTGGGCCTGCCTCACCTAATTAATTGGTCAGTGGCAGCCACGAATTGCTCTTTTCACAAATGACCAAACATGTGGCCAAACATGGTTTAATCAACTAATTTGGGTGTGCATTTGCATAGTTTGTGTGGTGGGGGCGAACGCTTTTCCAGAATTTTACTCTAATTAAATATGACGTCAGGGCCACAGCTTAGCTCATGGGAAACATAATTTTAGTTTGACAATTTGTTTTTTTGGGCGACATCAACACGGAAATGGTTTTAGCGACTGACGTTGATGAATGTCCCGGGGATTGTCAGGCGGCAAATTTGTCAGCAAATTCAGCAAGGAAGATGGGATGACATATGTACATATGTATGTATGTAGCTGGAGGAGGATATATAGTAAGTGAAGCATAATACATACAAGTCAGAACAAAATCCATTAAAGTTTCTCCACTAAAAGGGAGACTGCAGCTGGATTATCATTTCCCTGGCTACACAGCAGTAAACATACAGCCAAAGAGAAAATCAATAAGGTGAATAAAATGAAGTATATTTTCCACTATCTCTGCACCCACCCTCTTGGCCCCCTTTCGCCCTCTCACGCTGTTGCTGCTGAATGCGATTTCAATTTCTCAATCCAATTTACCTTTGCAACAGTGTACACACACCAATGCCCGCTCGAATTCAAACACAAAAACGAATACGAACGAGAGAGTACAAACACGGAGCACAAGTAAATCACAAAAAACGGAAGAAAACAAAACAGATAGAAAGTCCAAGGCTTTAGATGCCCTTTTCACATTTACAATAGATTTTTAGGAAATATTTTTTAAAGCTTTATAAATTGTTTTGTAGCAGATATCACTATTTTGCAGGACGGACGAACTTTTGTTGCTGATCTGATAGTTCTAACCGATTGCTCTAAATCCTTATACCCTCTAACAGGGTAAGTAAATCTGAATGCATAAAAGGAAATGAGAGAAAAACTGGGCAGCAGAGAACAGCGCAAGGGAAGGGTGGCCAGCTAAGGGTAGTGATAGGGAGAAGAAGCATTGGCTTTGCACATAAAAGCGCAAATATTTGCGCAACATTTTCGACGACGACGACGATAAAAATCGAGTAAGAAAAATATGCAAAGAAGTAGAAGAAATGCAAATAAAATCGTCGCAAAAAAAAAAGCAAAAAAAAAAATAATATGTTTTCCCTTTGCTTTCTTTGCTTCGGATTTTCTTTTATTATTGTATAACGTCAAACATTTGCATGCGGCGACGGCGACGCCTAAATATGTGCCACACACTTTGCGCCCCACGGTTCCGCCGCCATCACGTCGCATTCACCACCCAAAGCCCACCCCAGGCAACTTTTGCATTTGCATTTATGTGCGGCGCCAAATGAAGCGTCCTCGCCTCTTGCCTACCCCACCCACCAAGCCCATGAATCTCAGCGAAAATATTTCGCACTTGCACGGAATGGAGTTTACGGAGAGGCCTCTGCCCTTAGATCCCTATCTCCCCCCCGACAGTGTGCTTGAGTCTGAGTTTGGCCGGGTAATGTGCTCTCAATTTGCCTGTCCACCTGCAGCAGAGCAGACGAAGATGTAAAGTCTTGATTGGGGGGCTGTTTCCCAATCCGAATTCAATTCTATTCGATTGAACCAAACATTTAAAAGGTTTCATGAAGTTCGATGTAAAAATGCATTGCGAGAAAATCCTTTAAAAACCGGAGAAACTGCGAAGAAATCGTTTGTCAGAACAGAGTGAGCTGCCTAACTTGACACATTATAAGCGGATTCCACCCTTCCCTCGTACTCGTCCTTGTCCTCTTTCTCGCTTTCTTTTTTATGGGCGGACTAAGCTGCCAAGAGCAGAGAGGTGTAAGAATTTTTGAATTTACGTTCCATTCTCGGTTGAATGTTGGCAAAAAAAAAAGCGGAGAATTTGTCGGCGACAATTGTAAGTCCTTTGCACAAATTGCAAGTTAAATGGATCCTTTGCCACTGGTTATGTCGCACCATTTGGTGATGCAGCCACACGAAAATAAAAACGCGAAGAAGATGAAAAAGTTGCATTTAAATGGGTATGAAAAGTGCAAATGAACTTGAAGAGGGTCCGGTAGAGTGGGCAATCACTGGAGTATTATCTCTGTCAAGAGCTGTCGAACAGATGGCATAATAATCCAATAACAATGAGAAGTAGGCGATAGAGGAGCAAGAAGAGGGCTTAGACAGCAGATGGTCAGATGCATATGGAAGAGGATCTCAATGCACTCATCAAATTGGTTTATCAGGTTTATTCAAAGTTTTCCCAGCCATATGCTCGTATCTGTTTTTTATATTCAAAAGCTTAGCCGGCTTAAAGTGCAGTTCCCAGAAATTCATAAGTCTAAAATTTAATTAAATCCTCAGCTTGGGCTTATCAAACCTAAAAGAAAATGTACGGGTAGTTCAAGCCAACAGAAAATCTCCCTTAATTTTGAGCTCTCCATCATATGTGACGGTTGGGCTTCCCCTGAGCACAACCCACACATGACACACATAATCTCTAAACGCAGTTGGTCGCAAGTATACATTTACGTCAGAAAAATCTGCAACTAAATGGCGTTATAAATTACAGGCAGGCAGCCAGGCAGCTGTCAAAAGTCGCTTCATTGTTGTTGCTACGCATGCAAAATCCGAGAAATTCCAGCTAAAAATAAACCTCAAAACTTAATTAAACTTTCTTCTTTGCATTGTTTTTTTGGTGTTGTTCTGCAACAACAGAACAATGGGGCAGAACGCAGTAGGGTGGGGTGGAGTGGAGTGGGGGTGGTGTGTTTTGTGGGAATGCCAAACTAACTGCAAAACGCAGGCACTTATTCAGTCAGAGGGTGAGGGTATTGCGGGTGTTTGTGTGTGTGTAAGTGCCTCGTTAGTAAAGCAACTCAAAATGGCGCCCGAAGTCCTGCCCCAGGTCCTGTCCGCTGGTCGGGTCGGGTCGTGTCCCGCCTTGTTTTCTCTATGCAATTTGCCAGCCATTTTGCACCTGCACTGAAAATGTTTTTTAATTAAAAACAAGAAAGAAAACTTTACCGAATGTTGCGGGTTGCTGGCAAGTGGAGAGTGAAGCCATGGGAAATACCCCTGGCTTGGTACGTAAAGAGTTGAAAGATTGAATATTCAATGAATGAATTAATTACAAAATTCGAAACTTAATAATTTACAGCAGAAAGAATCGGGAATAATAATAAAAATTTCCCAAATTATACAATATTGCTAAATTAATAAAACAAATTGATACAGCGAAGTTAATTATCTAAAATCTACAATTATTTCTGATACAAATCCCAATCCCCCCCTTTCAACATGCGAATAAAGCCAGCTGTTTTACAATCCCGCCAGCTCAAAGAACCTCCCCAATATACCCGTCTACTCTATCCAGAGTGTACCAGCATGGGTGGAGAAGACGACTACAAGAAAGTTAGGCGCCCAAAGGGTGTAGAAAGTGTCTGACATTTAGCGCCTTTTGAAAATGCCGCCAACTTCCTCTGTACGAATGTGGCTATAGATATGTAGTATATATTCTTTATACATAGACACGAGTACATGTGTTTGTATGTTTAGGCTTTTCCCCTGGCTGCCATTTGCTAATGAATAAGTTAATTTCATTCTGTCCGCAGCAGGGAAATGGGGAAATGGTGAACAGTAGACGGGGCTGACGCTCGTCCTGTTATTTATGTGGCCGCTGCCTGACTGTCGCCCATTTTAAAACCCTCAAAGTGGTCATTAGAGACGTTGGCTCAGTTGGTAGTTCCAGCCAACACGGGCGAGCAGAGATAGAGAGAGAAATGAGACACAACAGAGGGGCTGCACTGCGTATACTTAATTTATATATAGTCAACGCCACGCTATTCCCCCTCTACCCTTCCGTGCTTCCAACAACAATAGTTGGCCCAAAGCAAAAAGTGCGAGAACACTATGCTTGACTGTATGTATATGTATCTAATACAACCTTATATAACACATCCTATATATAGTTTGGTACGTGCAAAACGGTTGCTGTTGCTGTTGCTGTAAATGCAAATTAAGTCTTAATTTTGCAGCAACAATATCGCACCAAGGGTGCGGTGCACTGCATGGGAAACAGGGCGGGTTGGCTCGGTGTCCCATTATGGCCAAAGTGTTGAAGTTACGTAAGCCCCAATCCATTAGTTGAAGCAGCTAAATTAAAATAGAAGGCTGCCTCGGGTCCAGTGGGGGAAAAGGAAGAGGAAAGGGTGGCCTGACCCGAGCAAAAAAGGAAGGTGTCCGAATAGTTTTCAACAAGTGTCCGGTCATGTCTCATGCATCTGCATCGCTGGGAATATGCTGCTCTCTGTCTCACTGCAGCTCTCACAAAATAATGCTATAAAAAGAGATTAACAAAGAAAGTTAATGACAGTTATAAAAGTATTTATCTAAGTTGGTGAAAGAAAATAATATCTTCATACATACATATATTTAGTTTCAATATAAATTTCTCGCCACAATACATTTACAAATCACATTTTCCAGCCATTGCAAATTTGCAGTTTCAGGTGGGCAACATAAGCATTAAGGATTCCATTTTCATGTTGAAACGTCAAGCCAGGCTGAACCAGCCACAGCACAAACCACACACTTAAATTCATTTTATACGAGTCAAAAAAAAGTATAAGAGAAAATAAGTTGTTGTTTGGTTCATCGCTGAAAATATTCCTGAAGTATGCTTCAGCGACGTTGGCAGTTAG